TCCACAATCGGACATTATTTGGCCCAGATATTCAAAAAAATCATCAAGAAAGGTTGACTTTACAAACGAATCGTTTTTGGGTCCACAACTTTTTTTAACCCACCTATTTTTAATTTAATTGAATGCCAATTGATAGTAGGGATCCGTACAAATTCAAAAAGGTATAATATTTGAAAATCAGACGTTATTTACCCGAGATATTCAAAAACAATCATCAAAAAAGTTATGATTTTCGAACCGACCCCGATTTTGATAAAAAACGTGATGTAACCCCTTGCCATTTTGGTCGATTTGGGTCAAAATTTAGATTTTCATTTTTTTTGATGCAAGTCGATAGTACTGATTCTTACGAGTCCAAAATGGTATAAAATTCCACAATTGGACATTATTTGGCCCAGATATTCAAAAAAATCATCAAGAAAGGTTGACTTTACAAACGAATCGTTTTTGGGTCCACAACTTTTTTTAACCCACCGATTTTTAATTTGTTTGAATGCCAATTGATAGTAGGGATCCGTACAAATTCAAAAAGGTATAATATTTGAAAATCAGACGTTATTTACCCGAGATATTCAAAAAAAATCATCAAAAAAGTTATGATTTTCGAACCGACCCCGATTTTGATAAAAAACGTGATGTAACCCCTTGCCATTTTGGTCGATTTGGGTCAAAATTTAGATTTTCATTTTTTTGATGCAAGTCGATAGTACTGATTCTTACGAGTCCAAAATGGTATAAAATTCCACAATCGGACATTATTTGGCCCAGATATTCAAAAAAATCATCAAGAAAGGTTGACCTTATAAACGAATCGTTTTTGGGTCCACAACTTTTTTTAACCCACCGATTTTTAATTTGTTTGAATGCCAATTGATAGTAGGGACCGACCCCGATTTTGATAAAAAACGTGATGTAACCCCTTGCCATTTTGGTCGATTTGGGTCAAAATTTAGATTTTCATTTTTTTGATGCAAGTCGATAGTACTGATTCTTACGAGTCCAAAATGGTATAAAATTCCACAATCGGACATTATTTGGCCCAGATATTCAAAAAAATCATCAAGAAAGGTTGACTTTACAAACGAATCGTTTTTGGGTCCACAACTTTTTTTAACCCACCTATTTTTAATTTGTTTGAATGCCAATTGATAGTAGGGATCCGTACAAATTCAAAAAGGTATAATATTTGAAAATCAGACGTTATTTACCCGAGATATTCAAAAAAAATCATCAAAAAAGTTATGATTTTCGAACCGACCCCGATTTTGATAAAAAACGTGATGTAACCCCTCGCCATTTTGGTCGATTTGGGTCAAAATTTAGATTTTCATTTTTTTTGATGCAAGTCGATAGTACTGATTCTTACGAGTCCAAAATGGTATAAAATTCCACAATCGGACATTATTTGGCCCAGATATTCAAAAAAATCATCAAGAAATGTTGACTTTACAAACGAATCGTTTTTGGGTCCACAACTTTTTTTAACCCACCGATTTTTAATTTGTTTGAATGCCAATTGATAGTAGGGATCCGTACAAATTCAAAAAGGTATAATATTTGAAAATCAGACGTTATTTACCCGAGATATTCAAAAAAAATCATCAAAAAAGTTATGATTTTCGAACCGACCCCGATTTTGATAAAAAACGTGATGTAACCCCTTGCCATTTTGGTCGATTTGGGTCAAAATTTAGATTTTCATTTTCTTGATGACAGTTGATAGTTCTGACTCTAAGTACGATACTTCGAGTCCAAAGAGTTTGAGCATTGCATAATCGAACTGAGGTAATCATCAAGCACGTTTGACATTATGACAATCCGACCCAATAAACAATTCTTATATAATCATCCGCTTTTTTGAATAACTAAACAATAAAGTTTTTGATAAAGAATATTTAAAATAAATGTTACCTCAAGAGTATCAACATAAAATGATGTTGCATTTTTATGGGTACATAAATATTCATGTTTTTTTTTAAGAAATACTTAAAATAAATTTACCTCAAAAGTTATCAAAATAAATTGATGTAGAATTTGTTTGCGTAATCAAATATTCATATAGTCATAAGCAAATGAGGTGCTCTCGAGGTACTTTTATTAAAAAACAAACAAGAATCGTTTGAAGCAACTTTCAGTAGCTGTCGCAGACTATTTACAAGACCAAAAGCTGGCAAGGCCAAAGGTCAAGGGCGTCGCAACAGTCTCTAGCATAAAGCCGCGCGCAGGCTGCGTCTGTTGTTAGACAAATCGCGTTGCACGCTAATTAAATCAATCATACGCCGTGTATTGGCAGCAATCCGTAGAAGATGAAGAAGCTGAAGCGAAAAGTGGCAACAACAAGTTGGCTAAGACCACGCCGACGCAGACACCTGCAAAAAGCTCACGCGTCGGCGCTTAGCATAAATGAATATTTATAATTCTGTGCCTTGCCATTGCCCCAGTCCCTGCCATATGCCAGGGCGTCGACAGAGCCGCAAAGTGCTTTTGTGAGTGCGCAAATATTTTTTTATGAATATTTATTTGCGTTTGAAATCGAAGTTATGCATTTGCCGCCGCCGCCCCCTTTGTTGTTGCCGAGCTCGTCAAAGTTTTGCCCTTTGCGAGCTGTGCGAAATGTGCGTAAGACAATTTAATTTATTTGACGCATTAAAGCAAAAATATTAACGCTATAAATCAATAAAAATCATGCCGCGAAAAGTCCGAGAAGTTTCTTTTCTTTGCGAAATATTTTATTTTTATTTAAGTATGCTTTTGAGCATCCCAGCAACAGCTTCTATTAATTTATGTGCCATTTGGAGAACCTGGCCCCAATCCCGGACCCATTCAGAACTGCCCTGTGCACGGCCCGCGGAGTATTTTTATGACAGCTGCAAAGTTATGACTGTCAAAGTTGCTTTATGTTATGGGTCTTATGGGCATTGCACCTAATACTCGTATGCCTGATGCTAACTTCACGATTCCCCATAACAAATGTATGCCCCGATCTACTGCTAGCTAGGATAATATAGAGAAGAGGAACGCGTTAGAAATCGAAGCTACTTGCAATTCGAATGCTTTTCTTTATACCCTGCACCCATTCAAATGGGCAAAAAGGGTATACTGTACTTGTGCAAATGTATGTAACAGGCAGAAGAAAGCATCTCCGAGCCCATAAAGTATATATATTCTCGATCAGCATCAGCAGCCGAGTCGATCTAGCCGAGTCCATGTCCGTCCGTTTGTATGAACGCAAGGATCTTAGAAACTTTAAGAGCTAGAGACTTGAAATTTTAGCTATAGGTCCTCCTAGTACAGTAGGTCCTCCTACGCAGATCGAGTTTGTTTCCGCTAATCGATAACTTCGCACGTTTACAAGTAAACGATAAAAATCGCTATCGAAATCCTGTTATTTGAGCAAATCTCGTAAGCTAGAGTCATTTAACTTGCTTCTAGAATAGTATATATATATCAAGTATCTTTCATTTTATAGCTATCGCCTTCTCCAGGGCATCCCCTGTTCGGGAGTTTCCGACTAGAACCTCTTACTTGTTTATAATAATTTAATAAATATTTGAAATTTGCTTATGCTCTCCATTTGACAACACTGTCTTATTATTTGCAGTTCAAACCAGCCTTTGTACAATTCCCCTTCTACTTCTTTGCCTTGCAAATAGTCCACTTATTGGCCAAGCATGCAAAGGACCTGCACTTGAAGAGTCCCGCAGTAAAAATGAAGTTAAATGCCATTGACCCAAAGATGTTGTTGCTGCTGCAGCCAGGATGTTTTGGTATCCCTAGCAGCCATTGTCAGGACTTTCTTGTTCCCCCATTTTCCTGCTAAATTTGCATATGTATGACTAAGGAACTCTGTGTGAATGTCCTTTGACTCCCGGCAGCACCTTTGTGAGCGCTTCAAGAGCTGCAGCTGCATGCTTAAATTTGCAATAATAAGCTCCACAATTTCATTTGAAGCAGAGTTTCACAAAATTAATGCGCTGCACATTTTCAACTCTCTTTTTTACACAAAAAAAAGTGTATAAAATTTAATTATTACTACAGAAATGACAAGCAAATTTAATTATTGCACCCGCTTTATATATGCTATTTGTTTCCGCAGTTTACAATGTCAGCTTTGCTCTATTCGGTTCCCGAGCCTATTTGTGTGCATCCAATAGATAAAAGTCATATATCATCCATAATATATACTTATATTTAAAGCCTACAACAAATGCGGGTCTGTGTTGTTATTGTTGCTACGGCAGTTGGCTTTTCGGTTTGTTGGTTCATTAAATATTGTGATAATTTTTCATATTTATTTACATGTGGTTTTTCCACTGACAGAAAGAATTTACATATCATTTCATTAAATTTGCCATTGTTTTATGCTTTGCATTTCACGCATTTAATAGCTATTAATTGTGCGATTCGTGAAGAAATAGAGAAAGTGTGAGTCTCACATAGAAATTCTAACTTTCTCCCGCTGGCAGCTGCTCAACGGTGCGTATGATTGCAAATTGCCAGTTACTTCCCGGGGCAAGGAACCTTTAGACGAATGTTAAGGACTTTTTGCTTAGCATGTTTAAAATTAAATAAAGTTGACTGTGCCAAAAAAGTTCTTACAATCTTAAACTATCTTCCTACATATCAAATTAATATAAATTATAATTGCATTCCATGCAAAAACATGAACTTTAAAAACGAATTTCAAATGCAATTGCGCCAAATAAAAACCCCATATTTTAACAGCAGCTGCAAAAAGCTTTCTGTTAACCAATCAGCGGAACGCTGTGGCAATGAAACAACTGCATCTGCGAGCGAGAGAGCACTCTCTTGAGTGGAACACCCACGCTCTCTGTGGCTGAGTCTTTTAGGCGCGCGCTCACGCATGCGCATTGGGGGCTGTGACAGGCGTAGTTCAGGCGTTGGCCACTGGATGGCGCGCCAGAAGCTTGAACAAGAAGTTGAAATTTTTTTTAGTTATGATTTGCACTTCAGACCGAACGCACGTCGTTTTGATCGCGCGCGCCTCTGGCTCTCAAATTGAACCAGAACCAAAGACCGAAACCGAAACCGAAACCAAAAACCCAACGACTGACAAGTCACACGCACACACACACACTCACACACCCATGCACACGCACACATGCATTTGGATGAACAAGTGTCGTGTGCGGGCACTAAAAGTTATTTCGTGTTAGTTTTGCTCGTTCCATAAAAATACAAAATTCAACAAAGAAAATTGAAGCATTTAATAAAATAAAAGAAAACAGAAAACAAAGTGCAAGTTTTTAGTGTGCTTGAATAAATTGTAAAACACAAATTTAAAATATATAAAAAAAAAACCAATATGAAATGCTGCAAACATTTGTCAAGCATTGTTGTTGTTGCTGTTGTTGTTGCTTAGTTGGGAACTTGGGAACTGCTGCGGTTGCGGTTAATTAAAATTGAACACAAAAAAAAAAAAAAAAACTAATAATATAATACAGCTAAAACAATTAAACGAATTTCCCTTTTGTTCTATATATTTTGGTTTGTTGTTCATTAAAATTACAATAGAGTCAAATATTGTAATTTTAATTATAAACATGCACAGTTTTTCTGCCACTCGCCAATTTAACTTAATTATGCCAGCACCGCTGTTCCCGTTGGATTCCCGCCTATTCCTAGGCATGGTTTGAGTCTTGGCTGTCGCTGTCGCTGTCGCTGCCTCTGCTCTGTCGCTGCTCTGTCTCTGTCGCGCGCGTAGGCATGCTGCTGCATACTCTTAGGCGCGCGCTCGAAACAATGACGCCGCGTTTTTTGTAATAACGGCACTTGTCTGCCGCCTGGCTATGTTGTTGTTATTGTTGTTGTTGTTGTTGTTGTTGTGATTATTATTTGTTATTGTTGTCGCTGCCGCTTTATTATCTCTGCTCGACTTGTCGCGACGTCGCTGCCGCTGCTTTCGGCCATTGTTGTGCAAACAACCAACTGACAACGACAACGACAACGACAACAACAACAACAACATTGTTTTCGAGTGTGTGCAAAAAGTGTGTAAAAAATTTGTCAAGATTTATATTTATGCGTGTTGATGTCATTAAACAGTCGCTCGCTGTTGTTGTTGTTAAATTATACATTGGCTTTTGTTTATATTTCGTTTGTTTTTAACGTTTCGCAAAAAATATATATATGCCTGCCTGATTGAACATCTAAACAGGATTTCTATTGTTATAATATCAAATAAACATGTGAAATATATATATATTTTTTTGTGTTACTTGGAAATTTTGTTTTTATTGGCAGCATAAAATCAAATTTATTTCATATAAAAGATAGAAGAAGAGTTATGTTTCTATGCTTGAGCTTGAAAAGAAACAACTTTAGATAGATACAAAATGAAATGTTCATAATAAATAGAGGAAATAGAATAAATGGAAGAATAGTCTTATTTACTTCCATTTTGTAATCTTCTATCATTTTTAATTATTAGACATTTTTAATTATAGCTCCGTGTAGATAGATATGTGAATAGAATATTGTATGATAATAATAATAATAATAATAATACTAATAATAAAAAGACTATTCTTTTATTTTTTCTAATTTTTCTCTCTTTATTATTCTCATTAAAAAATTAAATAAACCTTACCCAATGCAATCTAAATTTAGTATGTTGGATGAGCCTACCTTCACGTATGCCCCACTTTTTCTATCGGTAAGACGAACTAAACTTTCTCCTATATCCCGCACTTCCTCCAGTTAATTCCCATTCCTTAACTATCCGACTCGACTTCTTGCTCTAAGCAGTCTTTCAATTATTTATTATGTTTTTATAAATTTCTATTTATTTTTGTCAAACAATTATTGTAAATGGTTTTAATTTAAAGACATTAAAGTGGCATGCAAGCGTACCAAAAGTTCAAAATAAATAACAATCAAGTTGAGATAGGCTGCGTTGTCTATTTATAGAGGTGGGAGGAGAAGGGGCTAATCAAGTTTGATGGCCATTCGAGCAACTGCATCGTGGCCCATGTGGGTCAGCGGAGCGTGTGGCATTATTATTATGGCGAAAGGGGCATTGACTGCGACAACGACGACAACTTGGCCCAAAACAAGCACTCTCAATTGGCTTGTTGTAAGCGTTGCCCGTTGGCCGTAAATCAAATGCTAGGCACAACAACCGAACGGGTGGGGGGGTTACTTTGAATTTATGTTGCATGCGCCTCAATAGTCTCCAGCTCTCCGGCTCCGGCTTTGGGGCCGGGCCCGGGCTCGGGCCTGTGCCCCTACTGCCGTAATTAATCTTTGGCCAAAATGCTGCAAAATTTATGTCTTTAACTTGGCGCGTTTTGTGTCTGCATTTTGGGCGCCCGCTTAATAGTTTCGCTCGTTTGCCCCTTTTCTTTTCTTTTCTTTTCGGTCTTTTTGTTTTTCGCGCGCCCGATTAAAAGTGATTAATTGCCCGGCCGTAAAAACAGGAAGAACAACAACAATAACAATAAGAATAACAGCCGACGCAACTTAATGTCTAAATTAAATAAGTGAATTCTCGCAACACACAGAAATTAATAAACACATCGACGTGTTTGTGTGCGTGGGCGAGTCCACGTTGCAGTCCCTGGACGCATAAATAAACGCACACACACACACACACACACAACTACAAAAACAAATACATCGAGGCGAATTGCGCCAAGGGAACAGAGAACAGACTACCGCAAGTGAAAGTGTTTTAACGGCCAGAATGTGTGCGCTGGAGCCCTACACACACAGTCACAGTGAGAGTCACAGTCAGAGTCACAGGCTGAGTCACAGGCACAATCACGTACACAGACCGCACCACCGACAACAGCAACAGGAGCAGCAGGAGCAACAGGAGCAACAGGATCACAGCCACCGGCAGCAGCAACAGGCTGGCCAAGATGTTGGCCAAGTTGTTGGCCTGGCCAAGAGGACAACAACTGCGGCAGCTAGAACAACAAGGCATCTGCAGCTTTGGCATATTCTACATGTGATATTAGTGCTAATCGGTAAGTGCGTCCCTTTTTGTTTTTTTCTTATTTATTTATTTCAAATGGCTTGCAATTAATTCTCCAGCCACCCAAACTGCGGTCCGCAGCCCAAAATTGCGTTTAACTGTTGGCAAAAGTTGGCAAATTGTTGCGCAAATTGTTGCGCAAATTGAGATTAAAATGTTTGCTCATTTATGTAAACTGTGTGTGCGTGTGTGCATGTGTGTGTGTGTGTGTGTACATTTGTGTCTGTGTGTGTTTAGGGTATTGCACATATGCAAACGCTGCGAGCTCAGGCTAAGCCTGATATGGATTGCTATCAATCTAGTCAATCCTTCTGAACATAGCTCAGTTAAGGTTATTCGGATAAACAAATTGTGGAGTCGAGATTTCATATAATTACAATATACCAATTTAAATCCAAATCACATTTTAGCAAGAGCTTTAGCTTGGGCTCCTTTTGGGATGGTTGTCCAAGGAATTATGTCATTGACGCACGTGAAATGAAAGCCAAGGGCTTGAAACTAAAGCTTACCTTAGCCTTAACAATAAGTCTAAATTAAAATTGATATGAATGTCAGGAGTACAACAAAATGTCATATGGTATATATAAAGTAAAAATGTATTCCATATCTTGAACTAGTTGAGAATCATAAGAAAAAATGGCTAGCGTACAGCTATAAAGGTGCATAAAATGGGTAAGATCTATATTTGATCTTCATTTATTTATACTATAAATATGAAAAACTATTCCATGACTTTAACTAGTTGAGAATCATAAGAAAAACTGGCTAGAACCTAGCTAGAATTGTTCATAATATGGGTTAAAGTTAGCTTTTATATTTTTCAATACCTTAAAGGCATTTCTTTGATTCACGAACATCGGAAAGCTATTTTGTCTTACAGAAGTTTCTAATAATTGCATAAATTAGTTAAATAATACAAAATATCTAACTAAATGCAGTTAATTCAATTGCATTTTACGTTTCTTAATAGGAAAGTCGAAAGCAAGTCGAAAAGAGGATTATTCAAGAAAATAATTTTCATTTAAATAAATGAAAAATGCAAGCGTGATTATTAATAACGATTGTAATAGAATTTATGCAGAGCTTAGGCAAAACCAAAAAGCAAAGCTAGAAATAAATGTACTTAAGATAAAAATTAGAAATGAAAAGGCAAAACACCTAACACAAATAAATGCACATAATGAAGCTCTAAAATACTTCAAAGTACTCGGCATAATTAAGAGCTTCCCTTTTTGGGGAAATGCTTTGAAATGTTAATCCTTATTCAGACGAGTTCTTAGCGGAAGCCCTGAAATGATACAAAGCCTCAATTAAAATTTCGGCCAGAAAAATGTTGATATGTTGGAAAACTTGACAGAGCCGAACTTGACAAGTACGTGCTCTAGCCTGCCGCCGCATTCTACTGAAAAAGGAAAAATCATCTCAAAAAGGCAATAAAAAACAATCAACAAATTGAAAGCAAAGTTCAAAATAATCGAACAGCGGCAACTGGTACTTAAGTAATTTTCTGGCTAAGGAAAAGCAAACAACAAAACAAATTACGATACGCACGCTGCATAGAAATTAATAAATTGCCTGAAGATGGACGATTCCCCAACTTAACTTGTTTCGAGGACGAGAGCTGAACAGTGCGCGGGGGAGGGGTAGGAGGGGTAACAGAGCATTCTGTGAGCTTAACTTTGTTGCTGTTATTCTGTCACTGGCAAAGCGCAAAAAAGTTAAGTTGACATTTCCGCACACAGACACACAGCGAGAGGAAATACAAGTCACGATGTTTGCTGGCGAGGTGGGTAGAGAGAGGGGAAGGGGGGAAACATTAAAGCCATTGAAGAGCGTTCGCTTTCATTATTTTTAAATCATATCACAAGGCAGAGACGCACAGAGAGCGAGAGAGAGAGAGAGAGAGAGGGGAGGTAGACAGAACGGAAACGGATATGAAACCAAGTGATGTTTGTCAGGCAGCACCAATGTGTGTGTGCGTGTGCGTGTGCGTGTGTGTGTGTGTGTTAGTGTGTGGGCTTAATTCAACGTCTCATTTGCATACATTAAAATGTCACATTTTACATGCCGTTTGTACGTCGCTCGCCCTAAGCCAAAACGGTTGCCCGTCAGTTAACGTTAAGGAGCCTCCGCCTGTTACACATAAACTATATTAGCAATTGCCAGTCACAGCCGGGGCCCCATCCCAGCCCGGCCGGGCGGCCCACCCAGGCAGCCAGGCAGTCAGCCTCGGCGGCATTGCGGCCATGTAAAAATGGCTTAACGCGAAAATCTTTCAACTAAACATTAATCCTAATGGTTTTCAATTTTTTCCATTCTTCTTATTTGTTGCGGCTGCTGCTGCTGTGGCAAGTCAACTTGGCAAAAAAAATACCTCGCACCACAAGCCGTGCCACAATTCCTGTTTTGCATGTAAATACGCTCTTTGATATTGCGACGCTTTTCGCCTGCAGCCTGATTGCCTGCGACACAGCATCCCCTCCCTACCAGTCCAGACCCCGCCCAAATTGACTCAAATATGAAATTTAGCGAAATGCGCAAAGGCCAGCTCACATAATTGCGACCCACTCTCCCATTAGGCAGCCTCATTAATCAGAGCAGCAGGAGAAAAAATATCAAGTGATGCCCTTGACTTAGTTAGTTAGCCAGCTGCTCATCTATGCGCCTCGCTGGGCTAATTTCAACAGACATGCCAGCCAGCTCGGCCTTTTTCAATATTATAAGCCCAAGCACATGCTCAATGCATAAAAACATATACAGGGAAACCTATGCATGGAGTTATTTTGAAATATTTATCAATTTTTAAATTATTTAAAATTACGTCATCAAATTGATTATTATGTATATATATTCTATTCTGTCTAATCAAAGTTTATTCATTCATTTTTGTAATAAATATTAACTAAATTGTGTGGTAATTATTTTGTATTTTTCTTTTAAATATATACGTCTAGCTTATTCAAATAGTTTGCTAAACAACTATATTTTTACCCTCACCCCGGCATAAGAGTATGCAGAAAATAAATGATACCTCTTTCTTTTTTTATACCCTGAACCCATTAAATATGGGTATAAGGGTATATTGTATTTGTGCAAAATTCAAATGTATGTAACAGGCAGAAGGAAGCATCTCCGACCCCATAAAGTATATATATTCGTGATCAGCATCAATAGTCGAGTCGATCTAGCCATGTCCGTCCGTCCGTCTGTCTGTTTAGATGTAGGTGCTTCTAGTGCCTGCGCAGATGGAGTTTGTTTCCGATAGTCGATAACTTACTCCGTTTCCAAGCAATCGATAAAAATCGATATCGATATCCTGTTTTTTGGGCAATTTTGGTAAATAATAAGAGCTAGAGTCACCAAACTTGACATATAGCTTCTAAAATAGGATATATATATGCATTAGATATTAGAAGAAGAGGGTTCAGGGTATCCCCTAGTCGGGAGCTCCCGACTAGAACCTCTTACTTGTTTTAATTTGTTGCAAGCACAATCGGTCACTCCATAATGTATGTATTTAAAGTTTAAATATTACAATTAACGCATTTGCAATCAAGAGAAATGCTAGCCAAAATATAATACACTGCAAAAAAAGCTTGCAATCAGCTTTATTTATAAACATTTTTTATTTACACCAATCGAATAAATACTCAGGCATGGAATATTTATAAATAATATACATTTGCGCATAAGCCTTGTGCACGAACAAGTACGCAACCTCTTTTTTTGTTTTTTACCTGAAACACACCTATGTTGGCCTTTTGGGGCCCTTTAGGGTATATAGAGAGACGCTGTAAAGTATGCTACAGTTCGCACACTATCGCATTAAATTGTTGTTGCGAGCTGAGCAAAGCTCAAGTGGGCTTTTGTTTTGTTTAAATAAAACTGTGTCGCTACAATGGCAAAGCAAGTGTTTTTGTTTTGATTATCCACGCCCAGAGCACACACACGCACACATTTGTACAGAGCCACAATAGATGATGATAGCTGTCTGATTGCGAGATATGTGCACACAAACACACACACACATATATGTGTATATATGCTTCCTGGTATCTGTGTGACACACATAAAAAAAAAACATTCTGAGCCACTAAGCTATTGTTGAAGTTTATCTTTGCATTGCCAAATGATGGCAGCTCGGGCTTTTGTTATTTATTTTACGACTCGCTGTTGTTGCGCCTGTTTCCGCTTTGCAATTGACATTGACGTTAGCAGCAGGTAGCTTAAAATCAAATAAATTTTCACAATCGCAATGCAATCATATTTAATGATGCTTTTAGTTACAATTTGCTAGCTGATCTGGAATCAGCTGAATAAATCAAATTGTTTTGTAGCTTAACATTGGGCAATTAAAGGTTCAGATTGAATTGAACATATATCTTGAAAATAAAAGCATGCTAAGATTTGCTATGAGACTTTGTATAATTAATGCTATGAACCTTTAGATAAGGACTCAAAAGGAATATCTATATCAATATATAAATCCTACCCTCGCAGAATTATATTATATTTTTGGTAAATTGATATGCGCCCTGTAACATTTCAATTAAAAATGAACGTTATAGCTAAAAGCCACAAAACACAACAAAAAATATATAAAAAATGAAGAATCCAACCTGAAACGCAATGCGCCAAGACAAACAGTTGGTAGGCAGATCGGGGTCCGGCGGCCTGTCCGGCGGCCGGACAACGCCCAAAAGCATGCTAAGCAAATTGAAACAAAATGAAACAGCTTTGTGTGCGTGGGTGTGCGTGGGTGTGCGGGGGTGTGCGTGTGTTGACTTTTTTCGATTTGTATTGAAATCATTAGAGCGCAGCCGAACAAAAAAAATTTATATATATAAAGAAAGAAAAGAAAGTTGGAGACGAACTCGAATAATTTGGCTGGCAAAAAGGGGGCAGCATGCTCGGAGGCGGGGGGGGGCCTGTCTGACGAGCAAACAAACGAGCGACTGACGCCTATTAATCATGCAGACTTTACGTACCATT